AGAGAGAGAGAGAGAGAGAGAGAGAGAGAGAGAGAGAGAGAGAGAGAGAGAGAGAGAGAGAGAGAGAGGGTATCAGCGAGTGTTGCTGTGTGCCACGGCGTAGCTGTGGCGGGGTCCACTTGTTATCCATAAAGCAATGCACCTGGCCGTCGGTGCGTCCAGGTTCATTTAGGATTCAGGCAGGGGTACTAGTGGAAGGGAGAGTAAGCGTGGGTTAGTGAAAGAGTGAGTGAGGGACGGAGGAACTGTATGTGTGTGAGTGTGGATGAATGTGAGAGAGTGTGAAAGATCAAGCACGCAGCGCTCGGTAGACCGGGAAAGAGTTTCCTACTGGGTAATCTAACTTTACGTATCTGATCCGAAAGGCGGCCAGGTGCAATTAGGACAGAGCCTATAAAGATCTGCCCGTGAAGCGGGATTCGAGGAGTTCAGATTGCCCGCACGAGAGAGTTAATAGTCTAAAGAGAAGAAAGAAAAGAAAAAGAAGGAAATGAGAGGGATAGGGGAAAAGGAGATCAAGGAGGTGCCCGCGGCACGCAGGAACTGAATTTTCCTTCCCTGTCATAATTCTTGAACTTGGCCGCGAGAACCGCCAAGTGCATTCGAAGTTGTGATCAAGAGGAATAAGGCGGCTGCGCCAATATGAGCCACATGAAATACGGGGAGATAGAAGAGAGAGAAGATGGAGTGATAGAGAGGAGAAAGAGGAAGTGGGAGCGGTGTGAGAAAAGAAAGTAAGAGACAGAGAAAAGGGAGAAAGAAAGAGAACAAGAGAGAGAGGTAGAGAGAAAGAGGAGAGAAGGAGAGTGTCAGCGAGAAATGACCTGAGCAGGAAGGTAAGTCTGATTTCATATTTCCCAATATCAACCACCTGGCTCTAAATCAGACCAATTGTATTCAACTTTGACCAGCAAGATGGCTCGCTGGACCGGTAGTGAAACCAGCGGACTCGCAACGTTGAGAGAGAGAGAGAAAGAAAGAAAGAGGGAGTAGAAGGGAGAGACATATACAGGTGTGTGTTGAGCAGTGCAAGGAATATGAGTGCGAACGGTCTGGTCAGAATTAGGGCAAACAGGGTTCACAATAACAGACTTTTCATGTGGCTCACATGGGAGATTTACAATTTACAGTTTACACAAAATTGGCCGCTTCGGCAGCTTCTAGGATCTTTCTCGCTAGTCATGCTTTATATGACAGGTTTTCACGGTAGACCTGAGAGGAAAGGATGAAGCAGGGCAAGCTGACAGTTAATCCTCCACGATGCTGGAGCAATCAATGCTGGTCAGGGGTCCTTCGGCGGGACGGAAGGAAGCGTGGGTGAGTACTTATGATGCATCCTTTTATTCTGACTTGCCGGTGGAATAGGAACCGGCGTTTCAAACCAAATGGGTCGCAAAGCTAATTTCGCAACCAAGGCTATCGTGGGCATGTTTGGTGTTGGAAAGGATAAGACAATTAGCAAGATACAAAACGCCAAGTAATATGTCGGGTCAGTTCTGGATCATGTGTGGAAATTGGGCAAAAAAAGGACCAGGGATGGGAATAATGCAATGCAAGAGGAGGAAGCTCGGAGTCCTTCTAATTGGGTGCAGCTCATAAAGCTGCGGAAGGAGGTCTTCCCCGCAAGAGTCAAAGAACCTATAACAAGGGAAGAAGTGCTCAGACAACCATTATTCTGCAATGCAAGCATTAAGGACGGACAAGGAAAACCGCTGACACTTTCGGTGACAGACATGAGGTGGAGAAGATGGTTGGAGCATGGGGTATGGCAG